TCCAATTTGATTTGGATTGTAGTGAAAAAACTTTGATAATATCATATTCGAATTCATAACTAAAGAAAAAACTGGATCGAATTCATATTTGAATCAGATTAGGTCCGACTTATTTACAACCCTAACTCCAGATGTTAGGTAACTTATTTGTTTCATATAAATAAGGTGTGGGTCCCATGTGGGCCATGTATATGAAACACTGATGTATTCACCCTTGATAAGTTGCTTAACCCACCTTATTTCTAACCCATCTTCCAAGCCATCTCATCAGCAAATTCATCAAGGAGGCCCTATGTAAAGCTTCTTTTAGGCTGGACCGTTGAGCCAGGTATTTTCTTTTGAGGGGGGCATGTTAAAGAAGAAAATTAAATGAGATAGGGAGTAGAAAATGTAGGGTTTGGAGGGAAATGGGGTGGGAAGGTTTGGGTTAGGGGTGCAATTTTGGTAGAACTAGCATGAGCTTGAATCGTCCCATCTTGAAATTTTACATAGGTTGGGCTTTGATTTTTGGCCCTCAGGCTCAAGAAATCGAGTTTTTTTTTTTATTTTTCGAACTAGGATTGGTCCTAACGCATAGGTAACCCAAACCCGGCCTAACTAATACATATTCATATATATATATATATATATATGTAAATTTTGCATACATATTTACATATATACATAACTATATGTATAATTTTAGAGTGAGTTCATTGACCAACCTGAGCCCAGCCCGGGTCGAAGCCCAATTCGAATGCATCAAATTATAGTGTGTGCTGGGCTCCGGTTGGAATGATTAGGCTTGACCACGGGCTTGGGCCTTAAGCACAAATTTTTAGGGTCAGGCCCGAGTTGACCATAAACCCAACCCAACCCGCCTGACATGCACCCCTAATTTGGGCCTATTACTGATTTTTTAAAGAAAAAATGAACACATTTTTTTTTTTTAATTTTGGGAGTTGAAGGAGCTTAGACAGTGATCCCTAAAATTTTATTAGGACTTCAAGTTCTTTTCTTTTTTTGGAGGGGGGGGGGGGACAAAGACCCACTTTATTACCTTTATGACCTTGTTTTCACTTAGTAACTATATGAATAATGGTTTTAACAAAAAGTTTGGGCCAAGGACCCCCCACTAATATACTTAGCTCCACCCCTGGTTGCAACTACACTACATTACATCTATAGAGACACAAGTGGACCATTGCCTCTTGTAGGTGGGCTTATTTCTGATAGCCATCTTAAATTCTTAATTTTCTTCTTTGAAGTCTTATATATCTGGTTTACACTCTTACAATTAGACATGTTCATTGGTTGGGTAGTGCAATGGGCTGGCCCGATTTGGCCCGTCTTAAAACTGTTTTGGACAAAATTTTAAGCTTGTCGGTTCGGGTTTGGGTTCCAAAAATCGAGTCCAACTATTTGTCGGGCCAGGCTCGGGCTTTCCCAAATAAGCTTGGCCCGGTAATATTGAATACATAACAAAAATATAATATATATGTTAATAATACATAATATAATATAATAATAAAATTAATAGCAAAAAAGTATTACATATTTCAAATGTATAAAATATTGTATAATATATAATATATTATAATAATATATAATTAATATGTTAAAAATGCCTATCAAAATAGGGCTTTGGGCCTTATATAAGGCTGGGTTCTGACTGAAGATCTAGGCCCGATGGTTGGGTCGGGCTTGGGCTCAGGCCTAATAATTTTCTGTTTATAATAAAGTAAAGGGTAAAATATAAAAAACCTCCCCTGAGTTTTTTGACAATCTTATAAACCTCCCATATGTTTTGATTTTAACAGAATCCTCCCCTATAGTTTTGAAAAAAGCTATAAATACCTCCCTTCCATTAAAGTTCCGTTAACTTATAAGAAGAATTTACTAAAATACCCTTAAATACTACCAAGTATCATTCTCCTCTTTGGCTTTGTTCATGTTAAATTTAATAAAATAATCCAGGTAAGATTGAGAGAAATAGGTTGGCGCTTAATACTTAATAGAACTTTGATTTTTTTTTTCTGTTTTATGATTTGAGATCATGTTAGGAATTTCTTTGAACACTTGGAGTATTGTCACACACATCATATGAACGCATTATAAAGATGAGTTCGATGAGTTCAATACGATTGTAGCCTTTTGGGTAGATTAAATAGTTTTGAAAAATGGCTGTTAAATTACTTAAATAGTAAAAAGAATCGCTTAGAACCATTTAACAAGCATCTCCACGAAGTCTCTAGACTGTGGTTCCTATTTGCCTATCACTTGAAAAAAAAAACAGAAAATGAAAAGAAAAAAATATGAAAGAAATAGAATGAAGAAGAAAGAGTGAGAAGAAGAATAAAAGAGATGGAAAATTAAGAAAATGTGAAAAATAAATAAAATAGAGCAAAATGATAAAAAAATGAGTTACGATTGGTTAGCTCAATTGAGACAGAGAAGTGGAAAAAACAGGAGTAGGAGATTGGTTTGCTTCAATTACCACTTTAAGGGTAAATGTGGTATTTTAAGAAAATTAATATATTACGTTAGGGTTTTCGGCCAGGAAAACTAATAAGACGGAGGTATATTTTTCAAAAGTATAAGGGAGGATTCTGTTCATATCAAAACACAGGGGAGATTTATAAGATTGTCAGAAAATTTAGGGAAGATTTTTGTATTTTACCCAAAAATAAATCCCGACCCAAACCCGGCGTGGCCCAGCGGATGAACAGGTCTACTTACATGATGTTGATCCACTCGAATTTGTAACGAACTGTAAAAATAAATTTGTATTTTTAATAATAAGCAAAACCTATGGTGCATGATAACTGCATCATAAAGCGAAAAACGTGAATCCGTATAAAATGATACAGCACATCTGACATTTTTGTCATTGTCAAAGCCTTGTGATAAATATATGTTGTGAAACGTGAAAATTGATTCAATGAGCTTTTGTAGATGTCTACAAGTCGTTGCTTTAATTTGGTTCAGAGGCTGCTTTTCCGAAATGTTCGTTATGCTATCTTCTTCCCTTTTACTAATCATTGGCAGTGTTTGGATTAGACGGAAATGAAAATGGATTTGGGAGATATGTTGCCAATGTTGAATGAAGAATACTATTACTGTCCAGTTTGGGAGATACAGCAAGAATTAAAAAACAAAAGCAAAACAGTATTTGGATGGGGGATGCTGTCGATAAATAAAGGGTACGTTGGTTCCTCTTGGCTATTCTCCACTCCGTAAAAGGAGCTAGCTAGCAAGGGAAATATGGAGAGCAATAGATTTTTTCTTTTTTAATTAGCCGCATTTTTAATTTATCGACTTTCCGCTACTTCTTTAATCCAGACACGGCCAAACAGGTTTTAGGCCTCCAAAGTCCAAACTCCAAACGAGATCTTTTAATTTGAGGGATCTGAAAATTCCTGGGTTGCAAGTCATGTGAAATTTGCAGACTAGCTGGGACATAAACAAAAACTTGTTTCCATATTTTCCTGCTAGCTACAGTCTTGATGTATATGAATTATGAATTAGGAAGGTTGTTGTCTTTTAATAATCGAGCTTCGTAAATGGGAATGAACTCTTTACATTTTTTAAATCATTCCCAAGCTAATTAGTGAGGTATTGCTTCAGAATCCACTGCATGCATGCATCCCTGAATTATCTAATGAGGAAAAAAAAAAAAAAAACTCTGATCTGATGATGTATATAGCAATTAATGCATTTCCAAATTCTAACTCCGAATCCTACCCAATCCAAATGTATGTAATGTAAGGCATGGGGTTTGCTTTGAAATAGACTTTAAACATGACATGCTCAAGCCTCTCTCTCTCTCTCTCTCTCTCTCCAACTGCAATGCACGTGTTATCCGCTAGCATATAGAAATTAAAGCGCTCAGAGAAAAGCACTTTCCCAGCCCGAAAGAGTTGCCCCCTGCTTGTGAGTTATGACAGACAATCCCCGCATCAAAACCCAATTTTTAACTTATCATGTGATGGATGCTCTGCCCAAGAAGATAGATGTGAATGACGTTTAACAAAATAACCAGTCTGAACTCTGAAGAGTGCCTTACCTAGTAATATTAATTCCCGGCTTTATATATATATGCAAACAAATATTAAATAATTTTTATGACTTACACACTTAATTTCATCTATTACCAGTACAGTAGATGTTCGGGAGAGTTTTGTTTAGAAGATAAAAATGCTCACAGAATTAGCATCCTCTATACTTCGCAATCTATATACGTACTGTATCCTTCCTCTACCACCATGAACAAGGTTTGGCAATTAGACTCTGTTAATTTGCACTTAAAATAAATCACGACTAACAGCAAATTATAGCATAAGCCCTTGTTTGGAAATTAAGCAACTTCCTTGTGTGTTTTATCAAATATAGGTAACTATATAGACCACTCATGACCCTTTTTATTTCGCAAAATTAATTATATCTCTTTCTCCTTCAGTTACGGGAAACAAATTAAGTAGCCCATGTTGTAGCCGTGCATGCATGCTTGTATACTCCATTAGTTGCCTTACTGGAATTAATACAAGGCATCTACTTATATAATAATAGATTGGCTTCTGGCGAGTTTAGTAACGAGGGATTCAGATTCATGTTGTGCAATGCTACACAGTGCATGACTACGAGAATGTAGCATTGTAGATCAAACAGAGCTTAGTACTGTGTATATATATACCTTTTAAAATCCCTGTTATGTTGTAATGATTTTAACCAACACTAAAATGAAGCATCGATCCTACGGGGGTATCTCCATATATAGGTCATACGCGGCCACTGAAGCTTTGTTTATTCAATAAGGCGATATATACCCGCTTCTGGACGATGAACCCTGAAAACCTAATACATGCTGGGAGATCGATCTAGCTATTGTATATATATATATATCACTGTTCGGATGCCTAAGCTAAAGCAAATCTATGCTCCTTAATTACCAGTTAATCAACACTCTTGCTTGCCAGAAGAATATAAGACAATAGGGAGGACATAGACTCCACTCCAGTGAAGATTTAAAACTAAAAACAAGTTTGGTTATTAATTGCATCTGTCTCTGGATAGTACACAGCAATGATATATATATATATATATATATCTCAAATTGATCTCTCGGACAAGTACCTTCAGGATCTCACTAGAATGCATTTTATTCATAAAGTCAGATCCAGGGTACTTGGCCTTTCTGATTCCTTGTTACTATCACCTCCCTTCAACCAGAAAACCTTGGTGGCCGGTTCTTGGTCTACACTACTAGAATTTTTTTCCATCTCTGCAGATGGAGAAAGCAAAGAAAGACATAGGTTGTCATCTACTTTTTCCTCTTCGTCCCAACCCTTTACCCACTTTTTCCGTTGTCTTGATGGCAGATCCAGCGAAAGATTCAAATCAACGTCACAATCTGCAGCCTTCCTTTTTATCGCGCTTCTCTCTTCTAACACTAAACTTGGTCTAGTCTGGGTCTGATATGATTCACGATCATATGGAATTTTGTAATCGTCTGGGTACTCATGTGCTCTTCTCCTACTTTGTTCAGTGAAATTAACTTTGTCCATGTAGAAATCACTGTTGGACGTCTTACAGCCGCTGCCGCCGAATACCCTTTCAGTTACTGAACCATAGAATCCTGGTCTGCCTCTAGCAATTGCTTCACCGCCCATGTAGGAGCTAGGGAACCAGTTCCCATGTCCAGTCGTCCGAAGAACATCAGGATATCTAAAATATGTTAACATGTTATTCTCTGCCAAATAGCTATTTTATGATGACTGATGACGATTTTGCAGAAAAATGTATGGATTCCTTCATTACCTGATATTGGAGCTAAACCTTGGATTCAGACTTGGCAGCATGGGAAGTCGACAAGGGTTGTTATAAATGTGGTGATTCCAATTCTCCAAAAGGTATTCATTGTCGTTTAGCACTGTGGTGGAACAACAACAATGGCACAACATTACAAAGATGTCTGGGGAATCGATCTAGAAAAAAACAAAAAAAAAAAAACCCTAAATTTCATTTTTCTTTCTTGTGTCAAGGACGAAGTTGGACAAATCTGTTTGTACCTTGGCCTGGGTCATCCGTCTTCTTGCTCCTGTACATCTGTTGCCACACAACACAACAAAGCCGAGAAAAGAAAACAGATCAAACGAGCTGTAAAATTGATGAGTTGAAGAACCTCGAATTTAGACACGGCCTACCAAAATTACCTGTAAATGGCTCTTGACATGTGAAATACTAAGGCCTTTTATGTTCATCAGTTGAAGAACTAGTTTAGGCGTTGCTCCTGCACCCAAGGAATAAGAAGATGATCATCGTTAAGATTGTTATGGAGATCATCTAACAGTGAAGAGAAAAAATAATAATAATAAATGAGCACTTACTATCTTGGCCTCCAAGTCTTTCTACAGCCTGAACAAAACAAAGATGGAGCTCCGGCGTCCAACGTAGCCTCGGCATCTTGGACCTTATATACTGTCTCATCTTACCTTCACCAGAGCTCGGCTTCTTCTCACTCTCCTCAACGGTGCTGTTGCTTGAGCTCGCACTGGTTTTAGGCATAACCTCATCATCACCCTCCTCGTCCTCGCTCTTGTTGGAGGGGTTTTCCTTCAAACCATCATTATTCTCACATCCCTCTCCTTGCATCGTTCCTACTTCCCTCTCTGGCTCTAGCTTTGTAGCTTATTACAGACGATGAGAAAAAGGAAGAGACATTATTAATTAGGGTTTGATACCAAATAAGAAAAGGAAGAAGGAAAATTAGATGTAGACTTGTTTTGATTCTTCCCTTCTTATTGTTAGGTGCCTAAATAACCTAGGTGGGTTCCATCTAAATTCTAAAAGATCAGATGTCGATCTTGCAGAGAATTTCCTCTACGACTACAACATCAACTAGAGCAGATGATGAGAATGAAGACCCAACTCCTAAAAGTCTCAACATAGACTCTCTCTCTCTCCCTCTCAGAGTAGTCAGTATGTATATGTATTAGTAAAACGTTTGCATGCATGCATGCATGCATGTTGGCATGGATGTGCATAGGCATGAATGATGAAGTATAAATGGGTAGGGTCGTAGAGAGTAAAAACGTGCATGGGTAAACCAATGAACTGGACTGGACTGGGTGAAGGACTTGGGAATCACGTTTGCTGACGCTTTGATGCTTGCTGTCGGTGATCACGGATTTGTTTACGACGACTGCACCAAAATAAAACAAAAACTCTTCTATTTTCTTTTGCGTTTCTAATCCATCCAAGTGTCTAAAAGATTCTTATGACTCAGCTTAACGGTTTTCTGATAGGGTTGTTGCAATGGTCATGTGTACTTTCTGATTTCTAGACGGATCTACACGGTGTAGACTCTTGCTTTGCTTCTCCTTATTCTCACACGTAAGAGATGATGTGGCCTATTCATATGCCTTGGATCCGCTTGCTTCCCTCCCTCTGAATTGGCTTCCCCTCTGCTTTGCAGCTCTGTACGGACTTTTCCTTTTTTTTTTTTCGAGTTTGCTAGAATTACGTGAGGATTGCCACGTTTCCATTTAGAGTTTACTACACCGCCCGTCTAGATAACGAGATGTATTTAATACCGAGAAGTATATACAAACCTTAATTTGCACTGCCATTTGAATTTGATGCTTACGTAAGATAAATGGGGATGGTAAACCTGTACGTAGAGAATTGTAAATTACAAATATAGGACGGTCCCTCTGATCATTGCTTTTGTTTGCCCTCGCGACAAACGACGAACATCGAGACAACACAGATGTTCTGGTTGTTTCCATGAGGTACCTAGCTTTTAAAATCAAGCTCAGCAACGATACTCTCTTTTGTTTTGTATTTTCCCAAGAACTTAGCCCGCCATTGTTGTTGGTCAGAATAATGGTGGTGGGTTGTTGTAAGTTTGTAACAATATTGGAATTAGATAAACCTAATTGCTGACGAATGCTTGATCTAATGGTTGAGATCCCAGGGTTGTTTAGATGCCAGTGTGTCGTGTTAATCTCTGGTAATCGGCCCCACCCTTCTTTGGTATTTGGTATTTGTCTAGCTAAACGGGTTAAGATTGGGTTTGGATCAAAACATCGTTCTGGGCCGGATGGCATCCAGATTGCCAAGTGCTTTTATATTGCTATATATTATAGGTTTACGGTTTACCCATGCATACTAAATTTCAATTTATTCTAATTTGGGCTGTAAATGATGTAATTAAAAGGGAGCAGTAGCCTTGTTGTTCCCACGAAGTATAGTATCATATATCAGTGTCATTTGTTTAAGATATATATATATATATATATATATATATATATATTTTATGCTAGTCAGTCTATAAGATCAAGGAGACACAGACAGACTGCGAGTAGGACCTGGAGATAGCAGTGAGTGAGTGGGAGGATGCACAATCTGTTCAACTTATTAATTTGATAAATTATTGGACCATCGGAAAAGCTGTAGAGAACCATTTTCGGAGAGAATTTTCAATTCCTACGTTCCTGACATGCTGTTGCGGCAGGGGTGATGGATCAGAATCTATAACACGAGTTATTAATGGACAATGCTACTCTAGGTATTAGGCCGCTGCTGGATTTAAGCATTACACTGCAAACAAAGTTGAAATTTCTAACTCACCAGTCACCAAGTAAGATCAAACCGAAAGAAAAAGAAAAGAGAAGACCGAATTTCAATTACCCGATCGATCGAAGTTCTTGTGCTGATGCATTAACGACAGGCGCCGTAAGGATGAATGACTTCAGCTGCAAGTGTTGAATAATGTTCTATATGTTAATTAGGTTGTGATGTCAGAACTCAATCGATAATGTAACTAGTAGTGGTTTGCACACCACAGATGCAGGATCAGTTTATATCAAAACCATGGGATGCAACACAGTACAATAATTTCTGGTAAAAGGCAATCCAATATAAGCAAAAAGTAGAAACAAAGCATTGTATATATAACTTCTAAAACCAAATTTCAATAGAAAATGGCAGCCATACGCAAGTGGTTTTAAGGTAAAGGAGCTAAGGGGCATCGATCTATGCATATCAACTCTTCCTGACTCATCTTCTCTTCTCTAAACATGGTTTTAAATTTGGTCACTTTAGACGCTTGACGACTTGATCCATAATGAAAAGTTAGACATTTCGATTTTTTTTAAATTTATTTTATTTATCTTATTAACATGTTATATAATTTTACATTTATAGTGCTGGATTCATATATATATATATATATATATATATATATATATTAATAAAGTTTTTGGACGAAATACCTAAATAGATTTAATTACCCCATGTTCATATTTTAATTAAGTAGATATATGAATGTCTGAAGCCAAAGTTTTACAAAATTTTACTGAAGAAAAAAAAAAGGTTAAGCAATTAACAATCGAAAACAAAGCATCAGTATCAAACCGATGCTATAAGGCGACAGGCGTAAGCAGCACTGTACTTGAATCAACATAAATAATTAATAATATGTCCAGTTTCTGCGAGATGGGCTTCTCTCTCTCTCTGTCTATTTTTTTTTTTTACATTGTAAATTAAAATTGTATAATATTGTCTTCTGGTGCATGTGAGCAAGTGAAAATGATTTTCTTTTATTGGCCGGGTGATAGAAAGATATATCCAACACTCCATATTTAATTTAAAAGTTTAGAGCCCTCAGCTGTTATAAGTCAACTGCTAACAGTTCCTTGGTTTTATTTATTGTATGAGAATACGTGAAACCTATTAATGCGGATCAAAGCATTATTCGAGAATGAGCATGTTTGTCCTTTTTAAATGTTTCATTATCATCATCATCATCCTATGCCATATGCCATGCCATATTACATACCATTCATCATATATACCGCATGCATGCGTGCTCCATAGTCGATATATATAATTGACGCTAGCTAGCTAGCTATCTAGCTACAACATTATTGGTTGGTCAAAACTAGAAATAAAAAAAAAAAAGGAAAGGGGGAGGGCGTCTTGGCTCTGGAGTCTGGACCACACAGGACCCAGCAACCCAAACACTATATACTTTTTAGTGTTAGGACCCCCCATGAGGGATGAGACACCCACCCAGGAGAATGCTGAATGCCTAGCTCTACATAAACTATTAACAAAAAAGAAAAAAGAAATCACTTGAACCGTCCAATTCAGAGAATAAGAACTACTTATATATATATATCATGCTATGTTTCAATTCTTGGCTCGACAACCTTGCAATTAATGGCAAGTCTTGAATCTTGATCTTTCTAGTTCTAGAGGAGAGGAGAGAGATGGCATGCATGCAGCTTTTACACATACAGCAATTAATCATATATTAGCTTTTTAGACACCATGTCGATCTTGCCTGTAGATGGATATTCTGAAGAGTGGTTCAATTTGTTAATTGGAATAATTCATATTTTATCACATGGACAACCAAAGCAATCGTCGTCCCGTTAATACAGATCTAATATCTAATATTAATGTCGAGGGTGTCAATGACAATAATTGAGTATTTCAGCAGCCAACCCATCAATATTCAATGATTCAATCACACCCTCCTTCCTTTGTCTTTTTGATCTTTTTATGCATGACAACAACTGAACTGATCTCAGTTTGAATTTAGTCAAGTCGGGCAGTGCATTTTTCAACCCCTACAAGTCGGACAAGTCCACCTTTTTTTAGATGATCAAAGAGACCAGGCCACCCATTTTCCCCAACATATTTTCAAGTAGATTAGATGAGTTTACTTGTGCACATGGAGAAACAAGAATTCCACTGGCTAATTACTTTGAGGCATCTCCTTCAATTCCAGTGTTCATCTATTATATGCAACTATGCATCTAGCATGGATTAATGTTTATTATTTTTCTCCAATCAGCTTATGATATGATCAATTTGGAATTAGAAGTTCAATTAGTAGTTAATTAATCTAAGAGAAGCTGTCGCCTTGGCTTATGCGTTTGTTTGGCATCGATGCCGTTGTTCCAAAACACGGTGATACATTGGAAAAAAAAAAGGTGTTCTAAGAAATGCTTGTTTGTTTGGAACTGTTTTTCCATAAAAAATGGTGTTTCAAGTTATACCTTAGAAATCGATAAGGCATGGTTTTGAGTAACGCCGAATTTGACATTTTCTCAGATTGCAGTTCGTTGCTGCCAACAAAGGTGTGATGTGGAATTCGTATAATTGGTAACAATGCTGAAAACATAAATGGAGCACTGGTACCAAACAATAATGTTTTAAAAAATGAACCGGAAACAAAACCGTTCTAGCCACTAGTTTTCGGGTCAACAGTCCGACCGTCTGGTTTGAACGGATGGCCTGTTCTGACAAATAAATTAAAAAAATAAAAAATAATTAAAAATAAAATGGTAAAAACCATTGAACGGGTCGATGGTTCGACTACTCGGGTCAACAAGTTCTTGACTTTTTCAACGGTTTTTTACCAAAACCGGGTTTGGGGTAAAACAGAACCGGTTGCCTGGATGATTCCTGGGCCGAACGGTCCAGCCATCTGGGTCAATGGCGGTTCTAAAACTTTGCCAAACAGAAAGTGTTGTTGTTGCTCCAAGAAACACCTACTTGACAACAACGTTTCCAAATAGAAAAGACACCGCTTTCTCAGAAAACGGTGCTTCCAACCCACACATCAACAGCACCGTTTTCTCAGCATTGATGCCAAACATCATGGTTTTTAAAACCAACCCGGCGACCGAACGGGTTAGGTGTCCGGTTACCGGGTCGAATATTGGAATGATTAACCGGCTGGTTCAGCGATTTGCTGACCAAAATCAACGGTTTTGAGGAAAAATGGAACCGGCCCGGTTTTTCTGGTCCGACCGTCCGGTCCGGTCTGGTTTTGAAAACCATGCCAAACATATACTATGTGTCTATATTTGAAAAAGGTTTTCTCCAAACCACTTGTAAACTGAGAGCACACGTTCACCAGAAATGGAGAGATTTCTCTGATCTTTTTGTCGGAAAAGCATAAATAAGATAATTTCAAGATTTGAAGAAATAGTGAATTCATTTCCATCTTTCTCTCCATTTTAGTAGACGATTGGGTCGTGGGTCCAAATGATATTGAAATCTAAAATAAAATGATTCAAATTCATGTTCAGCTTCCATGTAAGAATTATAAATCACATTACTGTCTCTGTGATTTTAAGCCCAGCAAGAAAATTAGAAAGCATGAACATTCTCTTTTTCTTCCCACCAGTAAAGCGATGTAAAACAACTTGCATGGTTGATCACGTAATAGTAGCTAGTGTAACAGTTGTTGATTCTGACCTTCCAACCAACTGGGCAAAATTTCAGGTCTGGGGACTTTGCAACAGCGGACCTGGCTCAACCCTATTATCACAGCTCCTAATATACCTGCTATATAGATAGATATCGATTTAAAATAAGCAAAAAAAAAAATGGTACAAAAGGGAAGTAGACGATCAAATTGAATGTGGTTGATACCAAGCTATTCTTAGATCCTTGAAAGTGAGAAGATGCAAAGTCTTCTTTATTCTCCATTGACCAACTTTGTTTTAATTTGACCAATATCAACAAAGATTCTTTTAATGGTTTATTGTTTAATGTATTATATTTGTGTGTTGAAGACTATTTAATCAGCAATATATATATATATATATCCAAGTTCCAAAATTAGGTGCTTAATTACTGTTCCATTTATAAGAACTTCCTTTGAATATTGATTTAGCTAGGGACCCTGAACGATAACGTCTAAGGGCCTATTTGGTTCGTGGGAATAGGGATTTGGAATCGGCATTGGAATGGCCCATTCCGATTCTAATTGTTTGGTTGAGTAGAATTAGAATCTTATTCCATTCCAGTTGATTTCAAGTCTCATTCTGATTCCTATCTGAACCAAATAGATTATGAGAATATATCATTCTGATTCAGATTCCAATTATAAACGAACACAGACCCTGAGTTCTAATCGTCTCGTGCTGTGTTTGGGTATTTTGTGACCAACCTTGAACACAAATATATCCTTGTGGGGCAAGCATGGAGATATCTATGGATGCAATTAGTCAACAAGTTTAGTTGCAAAATCTTATGCTTTGTTTTTTTGGAGAGAGCAAATCTACACTGGATACAAATTTTGCACTCGGTTCAGTTTTGCACTCATTTGCTTATAACTATGGCTGTGTTTGGTAAGAAAGCAAAAGAAAGATATAAATTAACAATGTTACTAAGATATAAATTTTTTGGTGATCTGCACAAAAGCTAAGGCAAGTATCCACTTTGTAATTGTATAGATAAATTTTATATTCTTACTAAAAGTATTTGGTTGTGATGGATATAAACATAAATTCCAAGTCTGAAATCTAACTTTTTATATTGATCAACTTTGAGAGCAAAGTTTGACTCTAATTTGAATGCAATGCAAACATATCAAGAACAAAAAACAAATTTGCTACCATTTTTAATAGAAAAACATGTTCTTGCCAAATGCCTGAAAAACTAAACCACAGTACAAATTTGCTTTGGTTTAGCATATGAACTCTTAGCAAACACAGCCTATGGTTTGAATTCCTATGTGATGCAAAATTTGCACCTTTTTGTCTTATTTGTAGTTATTGGAAGTACAATTTGCATCTAAAAAACTGATGCAAATTTTGCACCATCTTAGTCCTGCCTTGAGCCACTCTCATATATTATTATTCATGTAAAGCAGGGGTCACATTTTTTACTTCTCATAATAAAGTTAACAAGATAAAGTCAAATTTGAAGCAAAGATATACCCGAATTTGCACTCCCTTACATTTACCCCGAATAAACTGAACCTTAAGCAAATAAATCCAGTTGGACAAGAGCTCTTCATTGTGTATTATAAAAGGGACTCAATATCAACACATGAATATGTTGTGTTAACGAGTTCGGATCAGCTGTACAAGACACTATAGCTGCACATTGGAAATATCTCAGTTTACATTCATAGGGAGATGTCTCTGATTTGTGGCTGTAGTGTCTTGTGGGTACATATGGATAATGTCTTTGTGGATAGCAAATCCAAGTTGGGTTTAATACTTAAACTGTTCATGGACTGGGTTGATGTTTAGGCCATGTTTGGTTCACTACTCTGGGCCTCATTCTTTAAATTCTTGTTCATTTTGGGCAAGAATGAATAACATAGGTCACATTCCTTTTAGAATGAAAAATCAGTTCATAGCACAAAAATTGAGGTAGCCTTCAGCATGAAAAATAATTATGCCCCATCTTGCTGATCATTTTCATTCTTTAAGGAAACTCTGCCTAAAAAACTATTGCCATAGATGTTTATTAGCGGACTACCATGAAAGTATTTTTATGAAAGCACTTTAATAAAAGTACTTTTACATGAAGGCACTTTAATAAAAGTACTTTTACATGAAAGCACTTTAATAAAAATACTTTTATAAAAGTACTTTTGTGAAAGAACTTTTACAAAAGGCACTTTTATGAAAGCATTTTTGTAAAAGCACTTTCATGCTTTTACAAAACAAAAGCACTTTTACAAAAGTACTTTTATAAAAATATTTTTACAAAAGTACTTTTATGAAAGTACTTTAATCAAAGTATTTTTATGAAAGCACTTTTACAAAAATACTTTTATATAGGACACTTGTCAGTGTGAAAAGAATTCATTTTTAGGAAAAAAAAGAATTCAAAAACCCTCACCGACAGCTTCCAAGGGTCTGATCCATTTTAGAATTCCATCTTGGGTAAGAATAAAAAAAATGAGAATTGAATCAAATATGGCCTTAGCTTTTGGCCAAAATTTGAATAAATACATCTCAAAGCCTGAGTCCAAAATAGTGTAAAATGTTCATGGGCTGAGTCCAAAACCCAGCCCGTGAACAAGTCTAGTAACACCCTCTCCCTTCTGGTCCGCTAAATAGCGCTACCAACTCATACCCTTGCAATCCGGAAAAAAAAAAAAAGGCTCTTACTCCACCAATTAAATTAGTACAATGGTCCATGGAAATGCATGAATAAAAATAGTGTGATATAATCGCGTTCACTGAAAGGGCATTGTTCAATATGTATAATTTTGTTTTAATAAAAACAAAGTTATCGCTTATGATTGAGTCAAATTTTATTGGCCATGGATGAAAGTTAGATGGGCTTGGGCTAGTTGACTAGTAGGCCCACAAAAATTGAGTTTGGTATCGACTTGTGAATTGAGATGAACAAAGGTCATGAAAAGAATCAAAAGCTACACGAAAGACATGTAAGGTCAAGACTTTCTTCATCACAAAATAGGCTCGTGTAGCCCAGGCCAAGCTAACTTGGGTCATTGGTAGCTTTGCTAAGGGTGCAATTTGGGCCAAATTGGATCCGGTTTTGGTCTAGCAAGCCCAACACAAGATAAGGGTAAATTCTCAACCTGACATTAAAATATGTAACCTTAGTAATAAAAATGGGGTCCGGTATCGATGCTGTTATTAGAGACCACCACGGCAAGATTGTTTTGGCTCGTGCTCTCAGTGGTGTTTTCTTGCTGATTTGCTTCTTACTCATGGGTTGGGCCTAGGGCCCATTATTCTTGAAGGATATACGCATCGACACTTTGATAGTTAATTACAGGAGCCTTTCTGTTTGAGTTCCCCTCTCATATTGTTGTTCCCTTCACACCCTGTACAAGGAATCATACTGCCCATATTCTTGCTAGATTTGGTTGTTCAGTTTTCCTTCAGTCCTGTTAATTTATTTGGGTTTTATTGGTCAAATAATTTTCAGTATCATCTCTTATTTTCTCTTTATTTTATTATATTTTATCTTATACTTATGAACCATCACAACCTCAAAAAATTTTAAATACTACCCTTGATCAAAGCTCTTTCGGTATCATGTCTTTCCGGCAGCATATATTCATACAAAATCGAGATGCAAATGATGCCAATCCAACAGCAACATCATGGGGTCTAGTGATTTGCACCAGCCACCAGAAGAGACACAAATACAATTTGGTGGATCCTCAATCCATACCGTTTAATATTGAAAATACAAAATATTGTCGTAAAATGGATTCGTTGTCTTTCCCTTGGGACACGTCTCCCTTTATTATTCTCTGCTCTACCTAAAACCAGAACCGAACACTCTTTACCCCCGTTTAGTCTACAGACTTTCAGACTTTATTTCGACTTCTCTGCTTGCTTCGGGTTTAAAGTGAGTGGCGAGGGCAGCCGYCGCAGAGGACAAATGGAAACCTGATGAAAAATAGGTTTCATTTGTTTTTGATTAGACCCTTCGAAGCCGTCGGTGAGGGTTTCCTCTCTTCTTCTCCTTTTTCCCGATTTTTTTTTCTTTATCCTTCGTGGCGTGGGCGTCCTCTGTTGAATTCATCATCTCCATGATCTTTTAACTTTTATAGCTGAAAGTGTAATATGTTTCTGGCCTCGAAAGAGAAACTTTGAAACAGAAGAGAAGATATGGCAGTTGCCGCACATGGGTTGTCTTCCCTAATGGAATTGGGCTTTCCCTTGTATCCTTCTCGTTCATTTCCAGGTTATCGTTCCGTTGTTTCTCGCTTCAGCTCAAGTGATTTTTTCTGGAATTCAGTTTCTTCTAGGGTCTCAATTAGCATCTGCAACCGTAAAAATTCTACCTTTATTGCTCCCAGAAGGAGTAGACTTGAGGAATTCAGGTTGTTTGGGTCGGTTGAATTGGACCGTTTTGTGACGAGTAACGACGAAGATAAAATGAGTGAGGGATTCTTTGAAGCAATTGAAGAATTGGAACGCATGGTAAGAGAACCTGCCGATGTTCTTGAGGATATGAATGACCGGCTCTCTTCCCGGGAATTCCAATTGGTGTTGGTGTACTTCTCTCAAGAGGGGAGGGATTCCTGGTGTGCACTGGAGGTGTTTGAGTGGCTTCGCAAGGAAAACAGGGTCGATAAGGAGACTATGGAGCTTATGGTTTCGATTATGTGCGATTGGGTTAAGAAGCTCATCGAGGGTGAACATGTTGTTGGCGATGTAGTCGACCTTCTTGTGGAAATGGATTGTGTCGGTCTTAAGCCAAGCTTTAGTATGATAGAGAAAGTCATTTCTTTGTATTGGGAGACAGGGAGGAAGGAGGAAGCGATTTCGTTCGTGAAAGAGGTTCTGAGGCGGGGAATCTCTTGTACCAAGGACGACGGGGAGAATCAAAAAGGAGGCCCAACTGGGTATCTTGCTTGGAGGATGATGGTAGGTTCCTGTTTTAAAAAAATTTGTTTTTCTTGTTTGTTCACTTTGTTGATTCGTTTATTAATAATTGCATAAGTTTTCCTACTTGTGTGCCAATTCGAATAAAATTTCGAATACTAAGTTCTATTTTTAATGTTTAGGTAATTAGATACCGGGGTATATGTTCTTGTTCTTTCATGCCTAGGGTAAAGGTGGGGATTCTTGTGGTGAAATTGGTTTGGCTTTAGTATTCTCTTTTTGTTACGATTAGCTGCTCATTTTCTTTTGAGTTTGTTGGAAATTTGGAGATTGCTTGAGGTTTGTTTTGCTTAGACTGTTGTGAGGTTTTATGCGATAATGTTCTAATTCCCTTCCGTCACTTCATGGTAAGCATTAATTTTATTACTTTTTTCTCCTGATGGCACTGAACCACAACCAAGAGGGTGCTGTGCAGAATTTCTTATCATTTTGGCTACAGTTTCCAACATTCATCAGAGAGATTTGTTAGTCTGGAAAAGTTTCTCTCTTCATTTTGATACATTGAGGGTTTTAGGGATTTGTATTATATTTTCAAATAGAATAATTTATTACAAGGGAATTAAATCGAACACTGTACCATTAAGGATAACATACTGGTATCTTTGGGTTCTGTTCGGCGGATTTTAAATACTCACACAAAACAAGTAATCTAACAAAAAGCAACAAGGATTACCAATGCAAGTATCAATTATATAAGTAAATATTAATTTGTGAGAGAGAACAAATGTTGGTGCTTTTTTTTTGTTGCTAGGTTCTAAACTCTTCCTCTCTTATACTTAGGTTGTATGGGTTTCCCTGTTTTTCCCTACCTTTTCTTTCAAACCAAACACAGCCTTTGTTCTTCAATTTTGGAAACAAAAAGGCAGTCTAGTTGGTTGTTAGATAGATTTGTGGAGGAAGACTGAATTTTCTCTTTGAGCAAAGAAGGTTGGAAGATGCTTGGGGGGGGGGGGGTCATCAAAGTCAAGGATTTAAATGTCATCTGAAGATTCAAAATGTTAACATCTGTCCCAGTTACAGGGCTGGAGGGGAATATGAAATCTCTAAAATTTAATATTAAAAAGCTAAAAAAGGGTAAATCTTGGTGAGGATGAGAGATGTGATATATAAGATTTTAAGTTCTGAGGGAATAGGCAAAATGAGAAAAAAAAGGAAGAAATAGCAATGAAAACATCTAATTATTTTGTTAGGTTCTTTCAAAAAATTCTTGAAACTAATGGGATCTCAAAAAGAAATTGAAGTTTCTACAGAAATGTCAGGTTTTGGATCAGGTAAAAAAATGTGGCCCAAAATCAAAATTTGAATCCTTGAGCAAAGTAGGTTAGAAGCTGTTTTATGCATGATTCTGACAGGGAGCTGAATTGGCAGCCCAAGATGGACATATATTCTAGGTATATGTGAAATGTTTTGTTTTGTGGTTTTCTCATCCTGGTTCATGATGTGAAATGTTTTGTTTTGTTTTTTTTTTTAAGATATATATACCATTTAAGTATAAGGGAAAAAAATGCCATGCATGGTAAGTTGTAGTCTCTCATGAAAAAGGTGTGAAAAGTGGCTCCATATGAATTGAAGCCTTATATATTTAGGGTGTATAAATACATATATATATATGGAATGTATCCTGTGACACTGCATTCTCGAAGCCTTACTGATTTGGTTGTTTCAATGATGAATTATTGTGGTTTAGCTGTCCAGGTTTTCTGTTAAATGGTATTTTATTATTTTTTCTATGGTCTTTCAGGTGGAGGGAAACTACYGGGATGCTGTTAAATTGGTGATTAACTTCAGGGAATGTGGATTGAAGCCTGAGATTTACAGCTACTTTATAGCAATGACAGCAGTGGTTAAAGAGCTGAATGAGTTCTCAAAAGCTTTACGCAAATTAAAAGGTTTCATGACAGCCGGTTTGGTAGCTGAACTTGATATAGAAAATGTGAGGCTTGTTGAGGAGTATCAGTCAGATCTTCTAGAGGATGGAGTCCTCTTGTCCAATTGGGTATTGCAAGAAGGAAATTCTACACATTCTGGGCTTGTTCATGAGAGGCTTCTCGCCATGTATGTCTGTGCTGGTCGAGGACTTGAGGCAGAACAACAATTGTGGGAAATGAAGCTTGTGGGCAAGGAGGCAGACAAAGAGCTTTGTGACATTGTGTTAGCTATCTGTGCTTCCCAAAAAGAAGAAGGTTCCATTACACGTTTGCTTACTAGGATGGAAGTTGCAAGTTCATTGAGTAGAAAGAGAACTTTATCATGGCTGTTGAGAGGATACATCAAAGGCGGACATTTTGAGGATGCCTCTGAAACAATCATAAAAATGCTCAACTTTAACCTGTATCCTGAGTATTTGGACAGGGCAGCCGTGCTGCAGGGATTGAGAAAAGGGATTCAACAATCTGGAAATATTGAGCCTTATCTCAAGCTTTGCAAGTGCCTCTCTGATGCAGATCTCATTGGACCTTGTCTTGTTTATCTGTATATGAACGGCTATAAACTTTGGATTATAAAAACGCTGTGAAAAGTCTAATGGAATTAGACTTGTCTTGTTTATCTCTCATACACAGATTTTCTCCTGGCATTTCTCTGTAAACTTGTATAGATGAGGATGAATGCAGAGTGGCAGTAAACATCGAGCATATCAGTTTGAACATAGTCTGGGAATTAGACTTCTCTGGATATGCTATTGTTCGGTTTATATATACATTTATAGACTGGAAGCTTGTAATACATAATAATAAGTTCCCAATATACTTGTAAACATAATAAAGCTCCTCTTTAATCAATGTAATTGGATCGTTTGGTGCATATATTTCAATATGTCAAATGTCAACTTTTTGGTTTTTCCTTTAAATAATTTTCTATTTCTTCTGCATCTCTACTCTTCATTTTTAACATTAAGAAGGAAGAAGTTTTCCTGCTTCATCATCATAGCTTTTATAAATAAACAAAGGAGTCTTTGAGTCAGCTCTCCATTTAGGGGTTTATGCTCTATATGCTCCAGAAGGCTTAGCAGCCATGGCAGAATTCTTTGACATTTATTCCAAAATTACTGTTCTTTTCTTTTTTTTTTCCCAGAAATTATGCGCAATGCGTTACAATTAACCAGCTTGCAGTACTGTTTCTTATCTACACAATTAAACCAAATCTGCAGCTGCCGGACTATTACTACCGTATGCATATTTAACCCTTTAGCTAACAAAGAGCTGTTGCATTCTCTAGCTAACACTGACAGGGTCATAGGATCCCGCAGCGGCGTGGTAGGTGGAATTGTCTAGCCAGCTTCCTTACTTGGTCGCGTAACAGATCGAACGCTTTCCTCCAGTTTTGATGGGAAAAAAAAAGACTAAGTGATATGTATGGCTTTGTCAAAAGAAGGAACAAGCAGTTAAAGGATCAAGCACAATGTCAACCATACACACTATGATTTAAGTTTTTTGTTTGGTTTAATTAAACAAATCTAAGAAATTAAAGGAGCAATAGGTACAAAAAGAAAAGCAAGACAGTCCTTAACTCCTAAGTTATCTCTGTAAATATTTATGGTCCTACACTGAATCATGGGCTATATGAATAATTTGATTTCTAATCTGCGCTAACTTCATAATAATATATAAGAATCTAATTGACAAGATGGGGAATAACAGTGGCTGTAAAGATGTTGGCGAGGATCTGGTAAGTGGTTTGAGTTGGATGAACGGCATCCCAGAACACGAATTTTGAGGGATCTGGACACACCGGCGTAGCAGCGTTGCACATACCACCCATCTCCACCAGTCCCGTACCGCAGCAGCCTCGCCTTGTTTCCACAAACCCTACAAAATTTTGAACCATATATAATTGTTAGAAAACAAAATCAATAACACTGGGGTCACGACGTTCGTCAAAACAGTACGTAGTGTGTCCTCAGAACTCACCATATTTCCCAGGGTTGGTGATCATGTCCAGCAATGGATTGTAGATGTCTACGTACGCGAACCGGGTGCCAGGGAGCGTAGCTTGCAACCTCAACACTAGGGCCTGGAGCTTGGCATTGTAAGCCTGTGAGTCTTGATTCTCTGCATCATTACAAACCCTTTGCAGCATATGGCCCCCGGGGATTGGCAGGATGCTTCCAGCCGTCTCTTGCACCGGCAGACACCCGATCGGCGGCAGTCCTGATATTGAGAACCTTCGTGCTCCCATGCTGTAAAGCCGCTGCAATAATACAAATTAATCAATTTGGACCATTCTCATACATTGGGGGGGATATTATGAACAGGTTGATCAATCAATAATTCAACGTATTTCTGCCTAGTAACTAGATATATAGTTGCAGTCACTTACCATAACGAAAGACTCCAAGTTATGGAGCAGAAAATCATGGTATGCCGGTAGCGAGAACTGACCCCTCCTCGTTGGTAGATCGTAGAAGTTAAATATCATGTCATTAGTTCCGATACCGATAGCAAACAAAGCGTCTTCCACTATGCGACTGGCAGCCTCCCTCCCGACGGTACTCTGCATCCGAGCCAAGCATTGCTCGAAGTAGTGCAACTGGGTCGACATGTGAGCCACATTGGAGATGGTCGCTGTCAAGTCATCTATTCCGGTGCCGGCCGATGCAAAGCTAACGCCTGTGAGCAAGTCTAGATTGGACACTCGGGGATCCAAGTAGGCCGGTAAGAGGTCCTTGATTCCCAAGGAAGAGACCGTGAAATCAGTCATAAGCCTTCCATCAGTGAACCTCCCGGTTGCGATCTGACCGGGGAAGTCACGTCCATAGGGAGGATGATCACCTCGGAAGAGTGTTCCGAGATGGTTGTTGTTGCCGGGGTCAAGGGTTGAGTCGCCGAAAGCATAAACGGCTGATATTTTACTTGGAGCGGCATTGAGAGGAACAACCAGAAAGAGAAAGGATGCAGAGAAGATCAAGAAGATGGAGAAAGCAGCAGAACTCGTCCTCTTCAAAGTCATGATTAACGCTGTTTCTCTGTTGCCTCTTGGTTTGCCAAATTGTTACTAAGCCTTGGCTTGTTTCGAATTCGATGAATAATATGATCATAATCTTTTGAGGTCATCTATATAAAGAGGTTAAGCTTTTAGAGTTTGTGTTGGATTACCACCCATGATATTGTATTTTTGTATTACGTACGATTGGTAGTTCCTTGTTAGACTCGGATATGGAGTTGGAGTTATAAAAAGATTGAAAGCTCCTGGTTTCACAATTTAAATAGTATTCTTATTAGAAGTTTAATCGAAGGCAAAAACATTATCAACTTTTGTTTGCTAACCGGTTAATGTTAACATCTGAATCGGTTACTCCGATCCACTTTTTCTTGCACTTCACACAACTGTTACAGAGTGAATAGATTAGTAATCTACAAACAAGGCGCGTATAATGGCTACGTAATTCTTAGTGCTTATTTGAAAAATAAGTGATTAAAAATATTTGTTTATTTTGATGAAGCTTATTTCAGATAAGGTAGTATAGAATGACATGGCGGGCCAAGAAAGTCTAGAAAAAATACTTAAAAATTTAATAAACTCAAAATTTTAGCTTCACAAACACAAATAAGTGATTATTGATGTAGCCCTAACCCAAAATAAGTGATTATCTTATTGAAATAAGCAATTGTTTTTAAACACTCCCAAACTTAACCATAAGTCCTAACCTAGTCCGATTTAGGATATACTACAAACAACACGTATACAATTGGCAACCTTATCTCATAATTGGGCATGGTTTTTAAAACCGAACCAGTTAGGGGTCCGATTACTGGGTTGAAACGTCCGACCGTTCGAACTGAACGCTCAACCAGTTCTGATAGAAAAATAAAAAAATAAAAATTTTCAAAAAAAAATAAAAAAACGGTCAAAACCGTTCGAACGGTTAACTGCCCGGTTCAGTGGTTTGCTGGCCAAAATCAACAATTTTAGGGGGAAATCCGATTTTTGGGGAAAACGGGACCGGTCCTGGTTTTTCCGGTCCGGTCCGGTTTTGAAAACCATGTAATTGGGTGATTTAGCCCGTAATATACATATATATAGCTAGGGGTGAGAAAGAAAAACCAAAAAAATTGAACCGGTCGAAATTGAACAAAAAATTCAGTTAATCAAACCGGTCAATTCAGTTTCGATTAACCAAAATAGAAAACCGACGGTTAACCGAACCAACCAGTATACATATATTTATATATTTTATGTATATTATTTATATTTTTTATTTTTTATACATTATAAATTAATAAATATGCATTATATATATTTATAATATATAATATATTAATTATTATTAATACATAATATATTATTTATTATTTAAAATATAATATTTTATATATATTTCTAGTGTTTATTATATATTTATATATGTATATATTATAATATATTATAAATAATAAAAAACCGACAAACCAACAAATCGACAAACTGAACTGATGGTTAACCAAACCGGTCAACCAATTAACCGGTCGGTTTCGGTAACCCCAATTCGTTTTTAAAAATAAGCCCACAATTCGGTTAAGCACCCCTATATATAACTTACGCTGCATGGCCAATCAAGAGTTTATAATCCGTTACAACACCCAATCAGAAGTCAGCACGTCATCGGGATTTCTAACGTGTTCCACTCTTGATTGGGTTTATTGGCCGGCCCATTATACATGTCTGGTTTGTGGTATATCTTGTCTATAATGCATGGTTTGAAGTATTGATAATTTGATACTCATTAATTGATACCAGTTTTTCATTTGGTTTAATTTTTATTGTTTAATTATGACATCAAGAGATATCCATTTGATTCACTAACCTTACCACCTGAATGAAAAAACAAAGAGTTTACTTTTAGGTTGGGTTAAAAAAACATTCTTTTTTTACTTCATTAAATTATGGAATAGAGAGTTAAATAGTGGAATCAAATTGTGAGAAATAAAAATTTACGACTGTGTTTGGTTTGTCTACCTTTTCATTCAAACCAAATATAACCTAAAAGACAAAGAAAAAGAATGGGAATCAATACTTTAAGGGGGCTGAGAGGGGGGAAAGTTGGTCAATGGGATTTTGGTTCCCATTGACCAAGAATTCTATGTTCTTTTTTCAGATTTATATGTGTAATAGGAAAAGTTTATTTTCCTGGGTATCACTTGTCCGGATAAATGATACCCATCTCTTAGGTGGATAAATAACTTTTCCACCTAGGAAAAAATTGTCAACACTTAAATGGGACAAAAATAATAATGGATTTTTATAGCTAAAATGGTCATTACCTTATTTACATGAGAAATAAAAGAACATGGGTAAATACACTTAGTTGGGTAAGTGTTCCACGGGAAAAAAATTACCCAGTTAGCTGCATTTACCCAGACAAATAACTTATCAAAAAGCAAATGGAGCCCATTCGGGAGTTAACAAGAGAGAGTGGAATAAATTAAAAAGTGAGTTCAAATTATGGTTTTTTGCCTTTACAATAAAGAGACCAAATTCTAAAATAAGGATATTATCTTAAATGTAACCAAAAAGAGCATTAATTTGGTCAAAAGATTGAGTTGATTTCCTCTAGGTCCAGGGACATTTACTAGATACTTGAAGCACCAACCTTGATTAATGGGGCTCGGGTCCACAAATATTATGAGGTTCAATATGTGGCCTCTGTTTCAAAGTCCTTAGTAAGAGGGTTTAGATCTTTTTGGCCAGAATTTCACAAAGGCATCAAGGCATGAATTCCGAAATTTATAGAGGGCTAATAAGTGAATCATCTCCTTCTTTGGATTTTTTTTTTTTTCTCTTTTCCAAGTTGTCATATTCCCGATTAGTTCTAAATATTTGACTGACTAGGTACTGAAATCTCATTTCTTGTCATATCCAGATTCCAACCGAAAACTAGCTAGGGTTGATCATGGGCCGGGGCAGGCCAGGCGTAGCACTTATGGTAAGGGCTATACCCTGAGCCTAAGCTGGGCTTTGGTCCTATGTCATAAATAGGTTATAATTGATGTATAATATTATAAACTATATGACATATAATATATGCTATAATTTATACAAGTATAAACTATCATATACATGATAAATTATATGTATCCTTTTATAATATTTTATATAAATATATCATATAATAATAGACTAAAACTTCTTGTCCCGGTGTAAATTTTCAAGCCTGTTGTAGGCCTGGGCCTGAGCATAAAAGCCAGGCCCTAGCCCGGAAATTTGCAGGCTGGGCTGGGCCGGACTAGAAATTATCATCTCTTGAATACCTATTTTAAAGCACGTATCAACACAGCTTTTTCTTCCCCGCCAAAATGCGAACACGTAGCAAATAATATTCTCCAACGGTTGTGGAATCTTTTTGTAATTATTCCTCATGTGTCACGATGGCTTCGCTCGCATATGTGCATGCGTTGTTGAATAGTCAGGATCTGATCATGGTTGATGGATCTGCCACATCATCCAACGAGGATTAAGCCCGTTAAGGGGGAGAGGCAGCCAATACGGTTTCGGATATGCGTGCCAACAGATGAGGTTTCAAGACAAACGCACATCCTCTCTCTATCAGAGCCAGACACCGTGAAAGGAAGAGAGAACGAGGATCCTACTTCGTTCGACCCTCTCTCTCTCTCGTGTTGCCACAAAGTCTGAGAGTATATGCTATCAGCATCTCCTGTTATCTGATTTTAAATAAAAAACATAAAAAGGGAATTGAAATCTCCGCTTCGTCTCTGCTCCTCCTCCCCAATCTCTCGCAGAGATTCTGAGTCTCTCTGTCAATATCTACCTATCCCTCACCATTCCGCACATCTCTGCAACTAGCGCATGGCGCGCGCCACATCCATCCTACTTCACCCCTATCAACAACCTTTCCTTTCCTCTCAACCCACCACTTCCCAATCTCTTCTCCCATTAATCTCCTTCAGCACTCTTACCACCAACAAACGACTTCATTTCAGACGACCTTTCAACACTTTTTATTTGTCCTCCAATTCTTCTTCTATTTGTTGTTGTCAAATAACGCGCGTATCCACAGCTCCGGTCGAATCCGCGCCTCTCCCAGATTGTGATTTCCAGGATGAAATTGCACGTCTGCAGAGTCTCCTCTCCAGACTTTCGAGTTCCAAGAACCTGAAAGATAAGATTCGGGTGCTTGACTGTGATTCCAGAGTGAGACAACTCTTCTCTGCTCGGAAAATTGGCTTTTCTAGGGTTGTAACTTCTCTTAATCTCGATATCTATGATCTCTTTTTGCTCAAGTGTCTCGTTGCCGCCGGGCAAGAGCATGTCCTCTACTCTGAGTTTGACTCCTTTGATACTAAATACGAGTTCCACAGAAGCTCGTTGAAGAGTGCATTGTATATGTTAGTCGAGATGATTGAGAATTTGGATGCCAATAATGTTGGTAAGGTGATTAAGAAGAAGGACGCTAAAGATGGGAAGAACAGGGTCCTTGCGCCACTGAAAAAGCTCTTACGGACTTTGCGAGAGATAGAACAGTTCTATGACTGCATTGGGGGAATTATTGGGTTTGTTCTTTTCTCTTTCAATGATCGATATGGGTTAATTTTTTTATCGTTCTTCTTAACTTGGGCCTGCTTGTTGTTCTAGTGGTGTTTCATGGAAATTGTTCATGCTACTGCTGAACTCCCCTGCTTATTGTTCTAACTAGGGCCTCTGTCTAGAATCTTGGTGAATGCTTTCCTGTAATGAGATAGCTTGTAAGATTATTCTCCTACTTTCAAGTTTCAACAAGGATTTGGTAGATTATCTTGCTTTGAGGAATACAACTACTTTTTCTTTCATTCTTTTTTTAAACATTTCGGTAAGTAGGAAAGTTTGAGTTGCAACCTTATATTTTACAGTGAAGAAACTAAAGAACTTCATAGCTTTTTATCCACTTTCTCAAATTCTTTTTTCCCCCACTGGAATGTATTACTTACCAAAACAAGAGGGTGAACATTCTTTATAGCTACTTCCGAACTATTTCATTTTTGTGGAAGCAGGTTTTCTGTACATTTTGTATTTATATTGTATGCATCCATTGCAGATATCAGGTAATGGTGTTAGAGCTTATTTCCCCATCAACATCTGAAAGGCATACATTGAATTGGTCTCACCACTTGGATGAGACAATGAAATGCCAATTTCTTGAAATTCATGTTCCTAAGGGACTCGATCTTGCTCAAAATACAGAATATGCATCTCAAGCAGCTTTGTGGGGAATTGAGGTTAGCTTGATAATGATTATTTCTTGATAGCAAATACTGGGAGCTTTCGGTTAGGGTTAAAACTCAAGATGCTTCTAGCAATGCTAGTACTACTACTGCTAATATTTCATTGTTTCATTGTTTAAAGGGTTTGCCAGAAATGGGTGAAATTTATCCTTTGGGAGGCTCTGGGGATAGGCTTGGTTTAGTTGATCCTCATACTGGAGAATGTCTTCCTGCAGCCATGCTTCCTTATTGTGGACGAACCTTATTGGAAGGTCTTATTAGGGATCTTCAGGTACAAGACCTCCATTCCATTTTTTAAGTCTGTTACTCAATTTCCTTTCAATGAGATGATGAGCCTACAAAAATTGGGACTGCTCATTGTGGATGCCGAATACACAAGTTTATACTTTCAAGTAATCATATGCATGGACCTTTTTCACTATTGCAGGCTAGAGAGTTCCTCTATTTCAAAATCTATGGGAAGCAATGCATAACCCCTGTTGCAATCATGACAAGTTCAGCAAAGAACAACCATGAGCTTGTCACTTCACTATGTGAAAGGCTGAAGTGGTTTGGAAGAGGTCAATCAAGTTTTCAACTTTTTGAGCAGGTTTGATGTGGATATGAGAATTTCTTTTACTCTTCCTCCTTTCTAAACTGTAACTTATTTTCTTTGTCATATCTCATATAGTTAAGAATATGCCTCAATATATTGGCTTGTTTACTGCCAGCCTCTCGTTCCCACTGTTGGTGCAGAGGATGGCCAGTGGTTGATTACTGGACCATATACTCCAGTATGCAAACCTGGAGGCCATGGCGTGATATGGAAACTTGCACACAGCAAAGGAGTTTTCAAATGGTTTTATGGACATGGAAGAAAAGGTGCAACTGTTCGACAAGTCAGGTTAACTTCAGTTGATCCTTCTCTAATATGGCAGTCTTTTTTATTTTCTTGTTTGGCAATGCTGAAATATCCATACTTCCTTAATTGGTTTGGGGTGGCTGTGCAGTAATGTTGTAGCTGCTACAGATGTGACTCTTTTAGCATTGGCAGGGCTAGGTCTCCGCCATAGAAAGGTATGCTTTTTTATTCCAAAATTTCTTGGTCCCCAACTGTATGAAATCAATGTTTTTTGTGTGGTAAAACTTCTTAAGGCACACTGCTCTAATGAACTGTATGGAGTGTGTCAGTTTTTATTGTTGTCATTTTATTAGTTAAGCTATAACTCTGGAAGTGTTAGAATGTTGGTAGAGAAAAAGACGGAAGAGTGATCAAACTACATTGCATTCAGCTGCCCAAAAATTTCTTATTTGTTAAAGTTTAATTTTCCTATATAGGTACTTTACACCTTATTAATTGAAATAGGAGACTTAGTGGGATTTGGGAAGATATTAGATTGATGGATGTAAAAGCAAAATGGACCCAATTTCAGAGTACTCTTTAATTTATTGAGTTGACAATTACAAGTTGTGAGGTTGGATGCTATTGAGCATGAGTCATTAAGCATGTGACTTTTTTCTTTCAAAGTTTTTGTATGTGTTTAACTGACATGATAAGTCCTATGAAGTGGTGGATCATAACCATTACATAAAGAATTCTAAGTTGCCAATCTCAAATTATTGGCATGAGTGGTGTTTAAGTGTCATATGCTTTGAGATATCCATGCTGTTTTCTTTTGCTTGCAAATTTCTACTTTCCTCTAGCAAAGATAATATCCAATTATTTCTTGTTCAAATCACTTATCCTGTACTTTTGTCTAGTAAATGGACTAATCCATGAAATTTATGTCTATGGATATCAACAAGGGGAATTAACCATTTTCAGCAAGGAAGGCAATCTTGCTGCCAGCCCTCAGAATCAAATCAATAAATTTTCAAGAGCCACTGCTTCAGTTTTTACCAAAATGAAGAGCTGTTTTTTCAGACATTAGGTTTTCTTTGATGTATTAGAGCTAGATATGGAACACAGCTTTCATGTAATACTAGGGCCATTGGCTTCAGAAATAAATTATTCCTATTATTTTAATCTTGAGGGTCTTGTTTCTTGGCAGTTATTTTTGACTTTTTATATTTCATAATAATAATTTTGTTGACAAGGCAAACATAACTATTTTTGGTGCATTTCAGTCTTCATAATTGGGATTTTTTTAGTGAACTAATGATTAATTGATTATCATTATTAATTCCACCCTATTACTGATCCACTATCTATTCTTTATTAATTTATTGCAGAAATTAGGATTTGCTTCTTGTACGCGGAAATCGGGAGCTACAGAAGGCATTAATGTTCTCATTGAGAAGAAGAATCTGGATGGGAAATGGGCATATGGTTTATCATGTATTGAATATACTGAGTTTGATAAGTTTGGCATCACAGATGGTCCATTTTATCCTCATAGGTATAAAATTTACTAGCCACTTTATGTTGGAGAACTTTATAGTACAAGTATCAAATAGTTTTTGCAGATTAGGGCTTTTTGTTGGGGGTCTACTATTTCAAAATTTACACTTGTGGAAACCTCCAAAAGCGGAGATGAAAATGGTGCCTTTATCCCTGTGTTTGTTTCTTTAATGGAGAGTCTAATCACCATTTACGAATCTCTTATTGGTTTTCTCTCTAGGATTGCAGATAGAATCCTCCAACTGATGTAGCAGAGTTGTTTGAACCTTCGTTCTATAGAATTCCAACAGGGAGAGTAAAGGCATTATGGAGATCTACTAGGACAGCTATTTTATGAGATTTATGGGGGAAAGAAATGATAGGATTTTAAAGAAAAATCAAGAACGAAAGAGATGCTTATGGAAATACAACCTAGAGCTCAAAAGCATTGGAGGCCACCAACAAGAAGTCAGCTTATGCTTGTGATGGGTGCAGCATTGGAAACTGTGGACCATCAGGCATAAGAGAAGCATATAGGGATGCAAGGTGAAATATTTTTGCAAAATTTTATGGGGCAATTGGTATTTGTGACTCCTTGAATGAAGAATTACTAGCTGTTTTGCAAGGATCAAGAGTTGGAGGAAATCTAGGCATCTGAAATATAATTGTGCAAGGGGATTCAATGTTAGTACTGGGCGGATTAGATCCAACAGTCAAGGTCCATGGCAAGACGGGCACATAGTGAGGGAAATAAAATTTCTGACAGAGAAGTTGGAGGCTACCTACCATTGAGTAACTAAACTATATCAGCAAATTGCTTGGTAGATTCACTATCCATGCAAGAAGCAACTAGGGATCAACTGTTTTGGGCCCGATTGTACTGTACAGTTATGTAAAGTTATGAAGGGGTGCTGGGCACTTCTGTAAATAGGGTAAGCTAGCATTAGGGTGCTGGAACTTTTAATAAAATTATCAGTTATCCATAAAAAATAGTTGATTTTTGATAAGCATCCATAAAAAAGCAGTTTATGCAGTACATATCTCAGTTTTATCATTTTAAAGGAATTATATCTTTAGTAATTAATTATAAATAATAATAGATCTAGTTGGAGTTGATTCTTTCTTTGAAAACAATAAAATCACCAAATATGATAATACTGATAAAATTACCGCAAAGTTTTTCCAGTATAAAGAATTAAAATAGAATTTCAAAAATACAGAGATGCCATTGTTGTTGTCTCAACATTGGTGTTTGGAATATATCCCTGGCATTTGGATTTCTTTTTTTTTTAATTATCCAGACTTCATATATTTTTTCCAAAAAAAAAGAAAAAAGAGAAATCCAGACTTAATGATAACCCTTCTAGAAAAATGGAAATATCAGAATATTAGTAGGCATGGCTGTAACTACTAAGTAGGCTGCAGATAATGTGCTTATTTTGAGATCTCCTAGTAATGTTGCTGCAGTTTTGTTCTTATGCTGTTTATGAGAAGTTTTGGTGTATAGCCTGTCTTAAAACTTACAGAAAATGTTTCTTGAGGGAGGAGTTTTTGCATCTGGTTCTCATCTGAAGTTCCATGACTGGTTGGCTTACTCTATTGCTACCATGATGTCTTTGTTTCTTATTATAACCTACTAGGTTTTCTTGATATGGAACACCTCAGTATCACCGTCCAAGATATTGTGCACAAACTTTTGCAGAGGTGTCTGATGTAAAAACAATTTTGGTTTCTGTAGTTCTTCCACTAACAAGGGGCGTTTAGATTTAGATTGTCAGGGGGACCAATCAAATCTGTGAAAAGTTGATGGGATTTTTATTTTTCATCTACTCATCTATTATTGATAGTATCATTGGTCTACAATTGATAACCTTCTTTTTAGTCTTTCTGAAATGATTATTGGTCTCTCGGTGAAATTATTGAACCCATTCCTCCATGGGGTATTTTCTATTACTTCATTGCCTAGGTCTATAATTTAGTTCACGCTACACTTTATGCACATCAAGATTATCATCTATTCTATTTTAGTCATTACTTTCATTTAAATATACCTATGGTATTCATTTATAAATTCTTTCTTTGAACAGGTAATATTTTTCTTGCCTACTTTAAAAGATTACTGCAATGTCAATCCTGTTTATTGTGTTAAGTTTGCAGGAAGAGTTTCCCGCCAATACAAATATTCTTTATGTTGATCTAGCTTCTGCGGAAAAGGTTGGATCCAGTGGAAATGCAGACTCTCTACCAGGAATTGTGCTAAATCTGAAAAAGCCTATTACATATGTGGATCATCTAGGAATCCAGCATAGGTACAATTTCTATTGCTGTTTCACATTTCTTGTTCTTATATTTCGTTCATGGTTCATGCTATAGTTACCATTAGTAGTCGATCTAGACTACAACCAGTCTTGAATTTAAAAGAAAAAAGGATGGAAAATTGAAGAGAAGAAGAAGAGAAGAGAGGAAGAGAAGAAGTACATGAAGAGAGTTTCAGAAAAAGAGAGGGAAGGTTATGATTTCTGCCGACCCACTCTTAGTATTTATATAAATGTAAAAGGGCTGAATTGCCCTTATTGCTTACATGGCAAATAGAATAAGAAATAACTAATAATAAAGCTGAAATAACTACCAACTAACACTGTCATATCTAACAGAAATATTGCTTCCATACGAACACTATGGGGACCACATCAGTGGGGTCCACATCAGTGTTCTCTACAGTTATGTTATTCTTTGGTCAAGATAATCTTATGTCAAGTGGCAATATATTCTACATTTGATAGAAAAATACATTGACTATGATATAGTGACAAAATTACCTAGAATCACTCTAGGTAAGCATGCTAACTAATGCAAGTCTGATAGGGTACCTAGAATCACTCTAGGGCATGGAAATCACTCACCATAATTAGCATAAGCTCAAAAAAACTCAATAAACTTCATTGATCTTTGTGTAAAACGTCCATACATATTTATAGACTCTAGACTCATAAGAATCCTAGCAATCAAACTGTTAGACTCATCAGAATTGTAATAAGACTCAAACTGAACTGCCATTATCCTAATCCAAAGTAGACTCAATAACTCTAATCCTACTTATTCAATGACCCTGAAACTTTAAACATAAACAAACTATAATAGACAAATCGGACCATATCATTGAAGCCCACAGAAAATTGTAAAATGACAAAATTACCCCTGCTGTCCAAAAATACAGAAATACATAAACTTTCACAAAATTCCAATTGTTGACTCTTCATCTCCTGCATCAAAGTCCAACCTATGTGAAAAAGAAACATCACACATACTGAATCTAAATCAAATCATTTGATTTTTTATTGTATTGGTAACAAAATATGTCTATTAAAGGTATGGGGTGTATACAAAGAGGAGTATAAGAAAAGATGGAAACAAACCAGAAGAGAAGAAGAGAAGGAAAATGAATGGACGGAATAGCCAAGGTGCCTCCCTTAGCTATACATAATTCTTCATACATCCAAAAGGAACCTGAAGAGTGTTTCATCATTGTCGACCACAGCCAAATTCCTACTTCATCGAAAAATGAGTAGACAGAATAGCCAAGATGTCTCTCCTAGCTATACATAATTCTCCATACATCCAAAAGGAACCTGAAGAGTGTTTCACCATTGTCAACCACAGCCACAATTCCTACTTCATCGAAAAACCTTGCCCTGTATTCCAAGCCTGATATCTGTCCCTTCCTCTTTGCCTCTACTCCTAAATTTGCTTTCCATCTTATACTGCTCTTCCTATGGTTACTGTTGTTTCCAACATCTTCCAATTCAATAATTCTTTCACCTCTTTAGAGATTTGATTAGCCACAACCTCCTTCCTGAACAGCTTGTCTGAATCAATACTTCCAATTTTCTCATTATCAGTAATCTCCTAATTTTTTGTGGATCAGTTTCTTACCCCCTAATATAAACATTGGTATGCTCACACCATCCCTGATCTTGAGAATCAGCCTCAAAGACTTGGCTACTTGAACCTGGTTGCAACTTATTTCTCAATGTCCTCTTCATTTTAAAAGCTTTGCCAAGTTGTATCCCCTTTGCTTCTCTGTAGACTCCTCTATAGTTTATAGATTTCTCACCCCTATTTCTTCACTAGACATATCCTTGAATCACCACAGAAGATATCTAAACTTTTCTCTGTATCTTATCTGCATGTTCTTAATTGTTCCCATGCTCATGATGTTAATGGAACTCACTTAGAGCACCCTAGGAATTTCACCTTGTTATGTCATATATATATATATATATATATATAGAGAGAGAGAGAGAGAGAGAGAGAGTATAGCTGGTTTAGGTTGGTCATGGAATAGAAACTTGAAAGTTTTAGGACATGGACTAGCTAAAAGGAATCTATATGTTTTTTTTGATAGGTGAATCTATATGTTAAACCATAATTATGCATGTTTGTTGCAGCATACTCTGCATGGTTGGTGAGGCAGCTGGGAGCCTGGGACTGTCATCTAATTCCAATCCAAAGCTAATAATTTGATATTTTTGAAATTCGAAGTTGAGTTTTATCCAGCTGAGGAAGAATTATGTAAAATTAAATTATTAGTGTGAGCCATGTTCTCTTTGTACTTCTGGGCCCATCCCTTTTAGGGATAACTTGGCTTTATTTAATTAAATACTGCTATTTATAAAAAATGTAAAATTAAATCATTAAAGTCTGGATGCAAACACAAGAATATGTGATGGAGCAACAAGTGTTATGTAACTAGTAACCAAGACGTCAGGATTTAACAAGCATGGATCATAATCTCATCCTTTTGCTTCTGGGTGCAAATTTTTCCATGTCAGTAAGTGCCAGATGGTTTGGTGAGATCACAAGAATATAATATGGGAGCATTAAGTGGTGCAACACTATATTAGTTTCTTTTAAGGCTAACTCAAGTTTACTATATAATAATATGCTCTACTTTCTGGATTTTATGTTTTTGTTCCTTTAGGCTGCTGAACATACTCCTAGCTAAACCCTACTGCTGGTTTCTTCATACTGACATATTCAGCTTTCTACTGTATAAGTGGCTGTTCCATAATCACTTAAGTGGCTGAACTGAATGTCTTATTTGTCTGTCTTTTACTGGATAATATATTCATGGGTATGGTAGTCAATCCAACTTCAGCTTCTGCCATTAAGGAGCTCACAACCTCCTCAAAAAAACTTATCCACTAAAGGCAAAGCAACAAGTCATTCAGTTAGCCATTTTGCCCTAATGCTTAGGTTTTAATTTTTTATCATCCCATATCTCTTACAAGTTACACCATATAAACCTCAATACCCCCATTTGCTGTACCCTCTTATCATTCACTACTAAAATCCCAAAGACATGCTAATTCCTTTTTCCCTGCTTGCATTACCTAATTAAAATCCTAAACAATATTTTGGGTCTGTTTGGTTTGTGTGAATAGGGATCTGGAATCAGAACTGGAATGGTCTATTCCAGTTCCAACCTTTTGGTTGGGCAGAACCGGAATCTGATTCCCATTCCTGGTGGAATGGCATTCCCCCATATGAGGGAATTTCCGTTCTCTCCCCTCCCTTGGGAATGAGAATCCATTCCAGCCAATTCTGATTCCAGCCTGAGTCAAACAGGTGGAGGGAATAGACCATTCCAATTCCGATTCTGGAGGATTTCAATTTCGATTCCGACTGCAAACCAAACAGGCCCTTGTTGGATAGTTTAAACACAATATCCTTAACATTCTAAAACCATTAAAGAGTGGTGGGTCAAATGTTTAAATGCTCAAAGCAATAAACCCCAACTTCCCAGCCCAAATTTTAGATTCCTAAAAACCCAGAAGAAAACCTTAAATCTTTATATTGTCATTTTGTTTCCACTCTTTCTGAATCTTGAGTTTTTGATGGTGCTCATAAATAATAGGTTATGAGTTGAAAGCCAAGATTGGGAATAATTTCTGGTTTATCAATTTGTCTTTTAGCATCCAAGATTCCATCAGCTCTTTGTGATTATTTTAATGATCTTTCCATGTTGTGGAAGAATGATAATCATATCTCTTTTCTACATGGAGTTATAATTTTTTACAAATGTAACAGTATAATCTTATTAAGTTTTGGGGTGTGATATTCATTAAGGATTGATCTGGGAGTGGCCATTTGTGTAAAAAATGCCACACCCCTCCCAAGACTCTGGATAGTTGGGACCAAGATTGGGTAGTAGCCCTTAGTTATTTTCCCTTTTGGTTTGGTCTTGTTTACAATAGTGCATCCTCCTCCCCAGGAATGTAAAATTTTTAGTTATTATGTTTCAGTGATCAATACTGGGATGATATGCCAACTGCTGCTAATTGAGGCCACTTTTATCTGAAGTCTTCTGTCTCAGAAAGTATAACATAAGTTATTACTGAATATATTACATTTTGATTAATACCAATGCCCTAATAAAGGAGATCTGTTATGGAGAACCAGAATAATATTTTTCATTTTTTGTATTTGACTCATTATTTTTCCATGTGACAGTGTTTCTGGTGGAAGATTGGAATGCACAATGCAAAATATTGCAGATAACTTTTTAAACACATATTCATCTCGGTGTTATAAAGATGTAGAGGGTATGACATGTTTAGCTTATGAGATCTTTTTCCTTTTTTTCTTTCTAGCCTCTCAAAATGGCATATTTTTATCCATGCTAATGCACATCATTCATGTGATATGTCTTAACAGATGCATTGGACACCTTTATTGTGTATAATGAACGAAAAAGGGTTACTTCATCTGCTAAGAAGAAAAAAAGAAATACAGACAAGTCCTTGCGCCAGGTTTGGTTTTTGAACTTCTCAGTATTTTGCACTAGCTTTGGGAAGAAATAGAACAAAATTCAGATTGAGGCACTGAATCTGTATACTGAAATGTAAATGTTATCAAATAATAATTATTATATTTCTCAAAGGATAGATCTTGTCTGATAACTTTATACCTTCTAGAGATGTAATTTATTGGCAAGATTGATGTGATTTTGATTCTTCATGAGGTAGTTGAAAGGGTGATGAACTACCTTCGATCTTTTTGGACATCCACTTTGTAGAAGTGTAAAGGAATTAGATACTTCATTATATATATATATATATATGTATGTATGTGGTGGCATTTTCATTCCCATTTAGATCACTGAAACTGATTGTCATCCGGAGTTTGTTCACCTCAGATGGTGAATATTGTAGCAGGGTAAGTGGTGTTCATTGTAACCATCTGGGGTCTTGGGAGTATACTGGATATGGTCCTAACCTTATGGCATTTTTTTGCGAGTAGCCACTCTCAGACTTGAAACTGCATTCTCRTGCTTGTCAACCTGACAAAGTATGAATGCAAATGAATATTTCAAATTTCATTAAATAAAATTGTTAATGTAAGGTGTATGGGCTAATCTGAGACATTTGTAGTCATGCCCATGTTGTGTGTGTATGGGCATATTTAAAATGAAAGGTCTGGATGTAAAAGCAGTCATTTTATTTCTGCTTAACTTGAAATTATAATTTCAAGATGACATGAGATCTTGAAGTATTCTCTTCTGAAAAGAAAACCAATACACGTTGCTTCTGAGCTGATGTAAGAATGGACTCCCATTTAACCCTCTGTTGGTGACTTTTATTCCCAAATCAGTTCCTCCGCATACATCAAATTATCTACTGCTACTTACTTTCTGAATAAATTAATCTGAAGGCACATCCATTTGATTGACATCATTTTGTTCTTCACAATGGATTTTCCAAGAAAAGTGCTTCTCATGTGCAAAGATAGATAGTATCTATTTATTTCATATGCTTCAACAGTTCAGCAACATAGTCTTTGTTTAATATCCTTTCTTTTTTGTAGTAAATCTAACCCCCACGAATTTCTAAGATAGTCATTATCCTTAGAATAACACCATGATGTCAGAATTCCATTGTTACTCTTACCCCTGCTTCTAAACTCTTGGATTAAAATATACCAAATTGCTATTTCTTATCATTGTAGAAATTATCCTTAGTCCAAGGTTCTGATGGAAAAACATTCACCTTCTACTTTAATCCCTGCAGTGGGTATTAACCATATCCTCTTGACTGTCATGTCAGTTCGTGGTTTGCCCCTCAGTAATAGGTGGTATTTGTCATGTCTCTGGGACCAAAAACCCTTTAAATCTGTATGTCTCACTCTTTTTGTAATATCAGACATCTGAGAATTTCCAGTGTATATATATGCTGAGATACATATCCTGTAAGTGTTCCTCCAATGCTAACATTTTCAATTTGGAAATGTTGTGCAGACCCCAGATGGCTCACTGTTGGATATTATACGCAATGCAGCTGATCTTCTTTCCCACTGTGACATAGAAGTGCCTGAGGTGTAGTCTCTGGAAACTGGAATAGGACCTGCATTGTTGTTTTTAGCCTCTTCCAGTTTATGTGTAACATGGTGCTCTAAAAATTATATCCAAATTTTCTTTCTTTGGCTCTGTTATCAATTTCTTGTCTATTTATTCTTCTCTTAGTTTTTTTTCTTTTTTTCTTGTAAGATTCTTACATGTTTTTTCCTCTTAATGTTTGTCAGATCAAAGATAATGATAAATATTTCCATTCTGGACCACCATTTCTCATTCTTCTCCATCCTGCATTGGGTCCACTTTGGGAGGTCACCAGACAAAAGGTAAGCATGCAATTTATCAGTTCATTCTAAAATTATATAATGCAAAATCTTTCTTGGTACGTATGTGTTTGTGCATGTATATATAAGTAATTTGTCAAATGCAAGAGCACTAAAGAATTTTGCTTTCAATTATATTAGTCATACCCATGCCCTTAAGAACAGCTTTCTGTAATTTGTCTTTAGCCTATTTTCTCTGACAATTATTTTCAAAACCATACACTTTACGTACCACTGGGAGAAACCCATGGACTTGCTTTGACTGTCTGTAATTTCAGTTTTATAGAGGTTCCATTTCTGATGGATCTGAGTTACAAGTCGAGGTTGCTGAATTCTTGTGGAGAGATGTTCAGGTAGTTAATGTCAAGTAGACTTTGTTGAGGCATACCTAATCTCTACATTTTTCTATATAAGCTTGATTGTTTTTCCTCATCAGCTGGATGGAAGCTTAATTGTTGTTGCTGAAAACATTATGGGCTCAACTAGGATAGATGAAGCTGGTGAACCCATACTAATTTATGGGCACAGGTAATAGAATCTTCCCTCTACTTTTCACTTTCAATAACAATGGCATTTGGGAGTTGATTATCTGAAGATAAGGAATATATGATGTTTGGTATTAGGTGTGGAAGATGCAAATTACAGAATGTCAAAGTATTAAATAGGGGAATTGACTGGAGCTCCAGTGAGAATATTTACTGGAAGCTTGATGTTCAGCGCTTTGAAGCATTAAAGGTCATACTGCATGGAAATGCTGAATTTGAGGCCAAAGATGTAGTTCTACAGGTAAGCATACCAAAAGAACCATCACTTTTGCATGTTATGTCTGGAAACATTGTGAACATGAGAGGTATCGGGGGCATCATCAGAACATGCACAGGATATTTCTTTGGATCAAAGATATCAAATTCAAGTGGATTATCTCAATTCAAGTACCTAAGTTATAAGTTCCATGTATTGGAGACCACTGCTATGCATATAAGGCTGCATTTGGAAATGATGCAAATGGGGTGTAAATCCCGGTTCAGGGTAAATTTGCACTCTGGTTCACTTTTKCYTRTGTTTKGCAAYATTACATTTATGCATTGACAAATGACAGACCAATGCATATTTACATTGATAATAAGATGTAAAAGTACATCAATAAAAAAGAAGTAAATTTGCATTCAAGTGGGCTTTTNTGTTTGGTAAGAAGGTAAATTTGTCAGTGCAAAACTAACCCAATTTTGCAATTTATATAAACCGTTTTACACTACATATTTGCATCATTTCCAAACGCAGCCTAAGGAATATCCGGTAACATGATGAAGACGAACATGGAAAAGTTAATCCCAACATCTTAATACCTTACCTAAAGATTCACTGGATTCAATGATTTTTACTGTCCAGTCACTGACACTCTTATAGTCTGGGGAACAATGTAATGCTTATAAATTGGATTATTGCAATTATCCAATCAGGTTGATATTTGATTAGGAGATATCCCAGCTTGGATCTGTAGAACAAGGAACCAGATCCTCTAATGCACCATTTCATTATAATCTAGTTATAATTTGTAAATGGAAATAATTGTTTATAATACTTCATTATCAATGACCTTTTATCTTTGCCTAAAGTAATAAGTTAGTAAAACTTCTTTCATCTATTTTACCTATTCCAGGGAAATCATGTATTTGAAGTTCCAAATGGATACAAAATGCAAATTACAGCAGGAAATTCAGGTGCTTAAATCTAAATTCCCTTCAACTATGCGGCATAATGTCTTAGTGCAATCTATGACTTTTGAGTTTCACCATCAACAACTCTTAAGTAATATTTGGTTTCACATATGCATGTTAGTTTTTGAGCATTTTAATTGTCATTACATACAAACATTTTATCACTGTTTTTATTGACTTAACAAGAGCAAGCTTTGTTAGACTTAACACTCAGAAAAGCCTTGGATTTATATTGATGATATCTGTAGGAAGACATAGCTGACACCCATCTGTTGCTGAGCTTTGGTAGACTTCTTCTATATGTTTTCTTATATTCCACTGTGTTGATCTCTTATACTTTATTCTTTATGTGCTTTATTTTGCTGAGCTTTTCTCTTTGAAAGAATTTTGAGACAATTTTTGACTATTTAGTCACATGTATCTTGTCTCATTTGGCTGAGGGGATCTGATCTCGAAATCAAGTTTCAAGATTTCCACAATTTTTTGTTTGTTTCTCTGACCTTTTCCCATTTGACTACATCTATTTCTATATAGAAGGGGCAGAAAACAAAGTTTAGCTGTACAAAGGCAGAAATTTTACTGAAACTTTATAGATTTACAAATTTTCTGCCTATTATATGGTGAAACAAATGGGGCATTTGAAGTTTAATGTTTCTTAAAAGCATCGGCAACTCATCATTTTATTTACTACTCCTGGTGGCCCTCATTTCTGGTTATGGTATGAAAAGATTTTGACCTCGAATTGATTATACAAATCATTATCCTCATCTAAGCCTTATGGGGTTACCTTAACTATTTGAATTGATTATTCAAAAATCTTCTCCAATGATGTTTTGCATGAATTTCAAATAGAACTTAGAAGATTTATTATTTTAAATTATATCAGCACAAAATCTTATATGGTTCAACCCTTGGTGTATAGAAGGATGTGCATGTATCTATATATCTCATTTTATGTATTTTTTGAATCAATACAATTCTGAATACTAACCTATCAAAATGACAAAAAAAAGATTTAATTATGATAAAAGATGGTTTTAGTTATGACTAGTTTTAGGTTTGATAAGTTTTTTGCTGGTGGTATTTGGGATTAATTCATGTGAAAGTTATTCTTCAAAGAGACTACCACTGTTGCATTTGAATCAATTCTATTATACTGGACAATTTCTACATTGAAATATTTCCACTGTTAAATTAAAAAACAAAATGTTAAACATTAGGGTATTTTTACTCGAAACTAAAAAAATGCTTTATCACTGTGGTGCTACCATTAACAATGCCTACTTATTTCCTTGTAGGAGATCTTTCTGGTCGTTTACCTTAGGCATTGTCTTGAATTTTTATCTTTTATTGTAAACGTGTCCACTGTTTTATTTTCAGTTATATTTTAACCATAAAATTTCCTGCTTGAATGAGCTAAGCAAATTATTCCTTTGTAATTGCAATTCACAATTCAGGCTTCTCAGTTAGGTTAGACCCTATAGAGAAGGGTATGATGGATTGCGGAAGCTGGTTCTGGAAGTACAAGTTAAGAGGCACGCATATTCAGTTGGAAATGATAGAGCTGTAAAGTACTTACTCGGCCTTTTCATCTCACCTTTGTGAATCGTGGTTCACAGACTGACTGAAAGTCGGCTTCACATATTTGGCTCATTCCACTTTGATTGGTTAAACACAAGTTAAACCTTTCGTACTGTATTTTTTGTATGTAATAAGATGCCGAGTCATGTACTTGAACACATCATGTGTTGCTCATGTAATATAAATGTAAAAAGAAAAGAAAAAAAAAGAAAGAAAAAAAACTGGATTACTTCTGATACAAGTATATATTGTCTTTCTCTTTGAAGGGCTTCCAATTTGACATTTACCCTTTTCAGTTCTTTTCTTTTTTCTTTTTTTTTTTCCAGGTAGGCTGAATAGCAACAATCTCTGTTGTATTCTTTTCCCACTTTCAGGATGATCTTCCTTGGAGCTGACTTGTCAGGACATGGAGTCTTCTGAACTCCGTAATGCTGGATAATCCTACTATTCAATCGGTAGTTTTGGACTAATACTGGTTTATGCTTATGCACTTTAATTGACTTCCATTTTAGTCAGCATTGCATGGATGCGGAGTAAAGGAATCAAATCCGATGCATCTGTGAAGTCTTTGATTCAGTAAGATGGGAAAAGGACTTGGATGTCTTCTTAAAAATACAGGCTAATGCAAGTTTGAGCAACACTTGTTTTTGCCATTTGTGCATTTGACCTTGTTTTATCCATCTCTAACATGAATTTTCAATAAGGGCCGTCAATGGAGCAGATCTGGGACGAATCAGGTAGACCTGGCCAGATGGCCCGAAACCAATAAGAAAACACCCCAGCCCAGCTCCCACCACAACCTTATGGCCTATAGGGTCCGTGAGTATAAATAATAGACTCAGAAACGACCCTAGATTTTGACTGAATAGCCTTTAGACTGGTTATTTGACAATAAAGTTGTCTATTTTTGTTCTCTCTTCTCAAAATATCTTATATATCTTATTCCTATCACCTGTAAAATGATAAATTTTAGACATTTTATTTGAAATTGTTATAGGTAAACCATGAGAACCATATAGCAGTATTGCATGGATATGGATGCAGGAGTTGGAATCCGACACATGTTCAAAGAGTCTGACTTGAACTTTGCAAGATGAGAAGGCATGGTCTTGGTATGCATATTTATATGTATGTCATGTATACGTATGTAGTTTACATATATATGTGCATATATACAAGACCTTCCTTTTCCTCTATTTTATTTTGACCTCGTTTGTTTTCTGAGAAGTGGGGGCGGATAAGTTGGTAGGTCTCTTGGAAAAGAAATAAATCTACGTCGGTGATTGTTTTCCAGTATTAGTGGGTCTCACAGAACATAACAATTCTTGAGCAGTTCATTTAGCTGGGGACGTAATACTTTCCTCGGATTTAGATAAATTATTTATCCATGGGCACCAAAAATCACTAATACTTGATAGGACAATATTATCCTTTCAATAATGTTTTTTTTTTTTTTTATAAATCAGTCATTATACATCTTGAATAAAAGAATATTAAAAAGTGCTCTTATCCAGATAAATATTTCTCAAGAATTATTTGCCTAGATAAGTGCATTTACCTAAATAAATCATTTACTGCAAAATGAACAAGGCCTTGATGTTGTTTGCCAACCCTTGTTTCATTGGGGATTGATTTCTTTCCCAAATTAAGCTGTATGGGTTGGGAACTTTTTCTTCTTCTTCTACGCGTAAGTTCAAAAACCAACACAGGAGCATGAATTTAGTAAATTCTTACACATTTGTTCTCCAAAGTCCAAACAAATAATAAAATACGACAAATGTGAACATAGTAGCAGTAACATATGATCATTTTAATAAAGAAAATTTATGGCTAATTACCGTTTTTTACTTATATTTCAAAAAAACAAGAAAGAAAATTCCTGTGTTATTTCCCAGGTGTATTATATAGTTGGGCTGCAACTTGGGCTGGGTTAGCTGGAATAAACCCTAATCCTTCAGATTGGGTTGACAATTGGGTTAAGGTTAAGGTTGGCTTTGGCCAATCTGCTCATTTTAGGTTGGGTTATGATTGGACCCTTTTGGTAATTTGATGCAACCGACTCCAATTCTTTGCTATTGTATATATGTATTATAGTCCCACTACATACTATCATAATCCATTTGTCTCAACTCTGAAGCCCCAACTCTACTGACAAATTTCCATTGATAATTTTCATTTCATAATTTTGTGTCTTACTAGTTGATTTCATGATTTTAAATTTTAGATTGGGCTTAGAGTTTGGATTGGACTGGATGAGGATTAGGGTTAGGATTGGGGGTTCAGAACCTCGGGCTGGGCTAAGGTGGACCTCAGTTGGAGCTAACTTTGTTAGGCTTATTATACATAGGGGGCGTTCTTTTTTTGGATTTTGAGAGGGGGGAAGTTGGTTTGACCAAGAAACCCATATTATTTTTTCATATTTATGTAGAGACTAAGGAAAGTTTATTTTCCTAGTGATCACTTACTCAGGTAAATGATACCCATCTCCTAGGTGGGTAAATAACTTTCCCACCAGGGGGAAGTTGCTAATACTTGAATGGGAAACAAATACCCCTTTTAATATTGAATTTTTATGGTCAAAATGGCCATTGCCTTATCTACATGGGAAATAAAAGAACATGAGTTAATGTATTTACCTTGATAAATATTTCCTGAAAAACACTTACTCGGATAAATACATTTACCCGGATAAATAAATTACCAAAAAATGAACGAAACCATAGTATATGGTGACTTAGTGAGAGAAAATATCTGTATAGCAATCTAGGGCTATCCATGTTTGTTCGAGCCTTTATTAGAGGAAGAACATCTGGAGCCAAGCTCTTAAAGAAAAGGAATGCAATGTGAGTTTAACAACAAACACATGGGCAATCTCGTCTCTTTGGTTCTTGCACAGCCCCAAAAGAAAAGTTAGGGTTAGGGAGTTCTCCTGCCCATTAATGTGCGTACGGACGGACCTTTTCTTCCAGTATTTGGTATTATCTTTCTAATGCAATTTGAATTAGGAAACCATCGCACAATGCCATTAGAGGCTTAGCGCTAGAATGGGCTCACTCCATAGTCAAAAGATCAAAACAATGCAAGAGACAAACGATAAAATCAACAACACAAATAGCAATAATAATATAGAAACAAAACAGTTAAAATAATCAAGACCATTAAGCAGAAGTACTGGAACAAAGATGTGGCAACAATCACAATCAATGTTCATGGGGGTTTGGTTGGAATCAAGGAGCCAATCCATAGGGTCCATACCCATGGAGTAGAAATCAAGGAGTACTGGATCAAAAGGATCCATACCCGTGGAGTTAAAGTCAAAGAGCGGATCGAAAAGATCCATGCCCATAGGGTTGAAGTCAAGGAGAGAATCCAGGTTAATAGAGTCTACTTGAAGAGTAGATCCGATGGCAGCAGCGTCAACCCAGTATTATAAGAATCTGGGTTCGTGGAGTAGGAATTTTGGGGAGGATCTAGCGTCGGGGTGGGTGTAATATTACAAGAATATTAGAAGGTGTTACTGAATTAATTTCATGGAGTGGATGTGGGTCTGGCATGGAATTGGAGTTACTTGGGGGTGTTCCTTTTTAGGATTTTGAGAGGAGGGGAAAGTTGGTCAATGGAATTTTGGTTTTCATTAACCAATAATCCTATGTTCTTTTTTCAGCTTTATGTGGGGATTAGGGAAAATTTATTTTCTTAGATGTCATTTACCCAAGAAAGTGATATCCATCTCCTAAATGGGGAAAGTTGCTTACACTTAGGGCCTGTTCGTTTGCTCTGACGTTTTACCATTGAAAGTGCAAAAATTACATTAAGAGGTATATTAGTATTAGTGAACTTTTCTTTCCTCCGAACTCTAAATGTAGAGTATTGTTCTGAATTTTGAAAAATGTCAAATGTCCAATTTAACCCCATATAAGAGAATTTTTATTTATCTATATAATTCAATAAAGAAACAATATTAAAAATTATTATAATAAATATTACCCAATATTAATTATTAATAATGATTAATAGTAATTAATTAATAATAAATTAATGATTAATTCATTAATTATTAATCACTAATTAATAGTTAATTATTTTTATGATTAATTAATACTTATTATAACTATTATTAATAATAATTGATTAATTAATTAATAATAAGTAATAATAATTAATTATTACTTAATTATGAATTATTATTAATTAATTAATGAAATATTATTACTAATTAAAAATTAATTAGTAGTTAATACTTAATATTTCATAATCAATTAATAATTAATTCAATAATTATTCATCACTAATTATTAATTAATCAATAATTATTTATTTTTATGATTAAATAATACATATTTTTTAATAATTAATTAACTATTATTAATAAGTAATTATTATTTAATTTTGAATTATTATTATTATTAATTAATGAAATATTATTAATAATTAATAATTAATGAAACTGTATGGTGATAATGAATATTGTAATTAATTAATTTCTATTAGAATATTAGTATAATATATTACAATGAATATTATAATATTAATAATTAATTTATAATGTTAGTAATATTATATGGTTATATTATAATATTAGTATTATGAATATTATATTATTACTATTCATAATTAATAATACTATGTAATATAAATAATTATTTGTTTCATTATAATATTATAATACTATCCATACCCGTGGTCTTATTAATAGCACTATAAGACGACAATGAATAATATAGTTAATGAACTATTATTATAATAATAATACAATATGAATATTATGGTATATTATAATATTATGGGGAAAATAAAATATTATAATATTATATGTATATTGTAATATTACATTATAATAATATTATGGGGAAAATAAAATATTGGTGGTGAGTCCAATGGGTCTTCATATGAGATGTTACAAGTGAATTGAGCATTAAAGGGGCAATATGGGTAAAATCTATTAAAATAATGGCCTGAGTCATTTGTACTTTAGCTATAATTAAACTTTAGTGTTAAGAGTCACCGAATGCCTTTTTAGCGCTGAAAGTGGTATCAAACCACTTCAGCATTAAGAGATCAGAGGCATGACAAAAATGCCCCTTTTAATAATGAATTTTTATGGCCCAAATGATTATTATCTTATTTACCTAAGAACTAAGAAATAAAAGAATATGGATAAATACACTTACCGAAAAATGATCTGGGCCTTGAATCCAGATGAATGCTATTGTCTTGGGGGAGCGGGTCTACTGTTGGAGTGATCAACTCGACCATCTGCGTCTGCTGCTGCAGTTGCTGTTGTAACTGCATTTGAATCCGCTCTTCTT